TTAAAATGAATCTGTTTCAAGAAAACAAATTAAATATTACGAATTTCGTGCAAAATTGGAAAGATAAAGCAGCATTTTGCGTTAAAATCGTTTCATAATATTTAAGAATTTTGCTGTGAAAGAACTAGTTCGTGAGGTAATTACACAATATAATATATTTTAGTTATATCTCTTATAATTTATTTTATATATCAACCTAAAATTTATATTAATTACAAAATTAGCTCGAACATCATCGAAAAGTCGATTTTCATAGCAATATTATCCGTTTTTGTGGGATTACAACTTCAGAACGAGGTATAAATTTTTCATAAAGTTATTAAGAATATGCATTGACTTCATTGACTTTTTACATTTTCTTTATATATATATGTATTTTTTTTCTATTTTTTTTAAAAAATATCAAATAATTATTTAGTAAAACAAAATTATCAATGAAAAAATATTGGACTAGTAATGAATATGCCGACGGCGGTGAACTTAGAAAGTATTTGAAGAAAAATTTGATAAGCTTACTCGTGATTTGGTAATTTGCAAAAATATTTTTAAATATCATTACAATAATATAATTTTATTTTTTTTTATTTTTTACAAAATACAAAATAGCATTCCGGCAATGTATTAATTCATCAAGGTATTATTAAACTAGCCGATTTTAGATTATCGAAAAGGATTGAAGCGGCATCTAATCAGTCAAATGTTTTTGTAGTAATTCCTTATATATACCCAAAAATTTTATTAAACGAAGAATAAGTGAGTGTACATCTCAACCATATAAACTAAATTAAAAGATTGACGTTCGTCCAGCAATGAATCAAGTAGTTGATAAATTAAATGTAAACAAGCGTAACTGAAATTAATGATTAATTAAAAATCAAATCTTCAATTATCAGAGCAGCAACTTCATTTGAATAGTATTGATGCTTCTTCTAGTATTAATGATCAAATATTTCTGGAATTATTGAAATTAAGAGATAGAGACAAATATTGAAGTAACAGATATTATTTATGATACTAATAAGGATGACATATTAAACATCTCGGGGGATTACAAAAGTATCGAAAATTAAAAACTCTTGAATGCAGTTATACTCCGACTCCTTAACAACTCTTTACTGTACTATATTAACAAATTTACCATATTTACCAAACTTGTTAACAACCCTTATACGCAAATAACAAGCTTACCAACTTTACCTAACACCTTAACAGAACTCCGCTGTTATGAAGCTCATATAACTAGCTTACCAACTTTACTCGATTCTTTAAAAGAACTTTACTGCTTTAAAACTTCATTAACAATCCTCATCTGTCTCGTTAATGACTCTCTGGTGCTTTAGTACTCAGTTAACTAGTTTACCAACCTTACCTGATTCTTAAATTTTTCTTAACTGTCGTAATACTCAGATAAAACTAAAGATTCTCAACTCTCTGTAAAATTATTCCTTACCAACTTTTTTTTTAAAATATCTTCTACAAATTATGTAAATATCTGGTTTTTTATTATATTCCTTTCACATTTTTGTATAAGTTATTTTTATACTTGAGTACAAACTTGTTTTTCATAATATTAAATTATATTTCTCTTATCCAAAATATAGAAAAATATTATGTTTAGAAAAATAAGCAAATTCCATTAAAAATGGTTAAAAAAAGGAAACATTTAAAGGTATTGGTGTTGGAAGAGAAAATAATTTAGAAATTCGGAAAGTATCTTCGTCGTCATAACATCAACAAAAAGCTTAAAAATATTCGATGAATTATTAAATCAAAATCAATTATAATTGTCGTCCGAAACAAATGTTCTAATGATGTAACGAACGAAGTAATTTGGTAAAGGATTCCATGAAGCTCATTTTTTTTTCGTGTTTGTTAGAAATATTGTATTCTCATAATTAAGTCAATTTGTCAACTCTAAATTTAATTTCGTCCAGATAAAGTCTATGTAAATTTAACAACACTTTATTGTTCAACCATAATATATGTACCATTTACAAAAAAGTTAAAGCTTATTTATACAAAATACTTCGTAATCACCACAAAATTTCTCAGGTATAAATCTTATATCTCCACCGAACACGTGACCAAAACCTAAAAAACAATTTATAGACGAAATCAATACCTTTATTATAACCTACCTAAATTACAATTGAAGGACAGTTTAATTTTTTAAATTTTAAATATGGGATCTTTGCAATAGAAAAGGGGGAAACGGCTGAAAAAAATAAAAATTGAGATAATGCTAAATCTGAACATATTTTGACCTAAAAATCATATTTGACATATAAAAGTAAAAATTGATTTTTTCTGGCTGTTTCCCCACTTTCTATTGCAAAGGTCCCATATATCTATCAGCATTATATTCAATCGCCCAGATGAATCCATACAAATGGAGTGGATTATATCCCACGATTTGTAATGAATCTTTAATTTTACAACAGTCCTTCGGTTAATTTTAACAAATGCCGTTGCTAAAGAACATATTGTTGAGGTAATTAAAAAATATAATCTATTTAATATGAAGATATTATTGCAGCTTATAATAATTTAGCTTGAACTTCAAAGGAACTTGAATTTCATAGTAATGTGGGAAGATTTCTTGTGTTTTTTTTGACTAAAATTAAGATCTTATTGCATTACAACTAATAACATCAAAAAATTAAAATGCAATAATAATCGAAATATTAATAAAACATTCACAGAACCTGGAAAATCTTGGTATGAATTTTTATAAAGATATCTACGCGATAATGGAGTCGTAGCCGTAGAATTATCGAGAAATTCGACTTCACCGGTTTTAAACTATTTTGCAAAATGTTCAGAAGCCCTATGTTTCTAGCATATTTTAGCAATAAATCAGAATCTAAATCTTTTTAACAAAATTAAGATCTTATTGCATTTTATTAACAATTTCTGTACTTCCACAAAATGAATTTAATAAAGGACTTTTCTTATATTTCTGAAGCCTTATCTAAAGAGCAATACGATTATAGATTTCGTTTTCAAAATTTCTTTTATTGGCCAAATCACAATTACGTGTATAAATATAGCTTAAAGTTAATAATCAAATTAAACAAATTTTTCATATTTAGGTATAATTATTTGCAATTTTTCAGTGCTTGAATTATTTTCCAAAGAGTTTCAGGGCACAGTCAATAAGGAAAGTAATCCCGGAATGGACGTTATTCGGACATTCCCGAACATTTTATAATGCCTTTCGATAGTATTATTTATAGATCCAATTCCAGCTTCAATAATAACTACGTTATAGATTAACATGACATGTTAACCGGTTAAAATATCTGAATTTAACTCCCCGAAATTCAATTTCCGGCCAGAATTGAGAATATTATGATTGCAAAAATGTTTTCTAACTCCGGTTAAATTTAGAGTACTGGCCTAAGTTAATGAAATTCCTTAAATGCGAGAATATTAGAGTATTAATTTTTAACCGGTTAATTAACCGGTTAACGAATATTTTAACCGGTAACCGGTTAAAGAATTTTTGGTCGGTTCCAACCTCTAATACGAATAAGTTAAATAATTTTTAACTTATTAATGCTTTTTAAAACGTACGAAATTCAATATTTCTAAATATAAGTATCACAACCTAAAGTTTGTAATTTGGAAAAAATTTTTTGGTGAGCATTTTTTATGATTGGTGGCTTAAATCGGTAACTAAAAAAAAAATAAGGTTTTAAAAAAATTGATAAATAATAATTAAAATAAAATAAATAAAAAAATAACTAAAATGAGTACAAAAAGGAGTTTAATTGCAACGAACGATCCAAACATGTAATAAGGATTGAGTACCCTATGGCTTTAACATTCCAGAATAAGGAAAGACTTATCTTATTAAGTAGTCACGATCTTTTATGAACTTCATATATTATTTATATTTAGTAAAAATTTTCTTTTACATCTACAAAATAAATATTGTATCTTTTGCCTTGAAATATGCTATATAACTAATTAGTAAATTTATCGTTTATTAAATCATCATAAAAAAATTACATTTTTCAATTAATAAAATCATTAAATTAAACTAGGGGAACGTGTCCGTTATTAAGTCGGATCTATCTTAACTAAAAAAAATTCATACTGGTATTTGCTTTATCTAGAAAGCCATTCAATTATCGAGCGGGCGACACTTTGCAGCGTAGAACTATATAGTTCTTCACTTAGTTCCAGACTAATAAATTTGAAAATTTGTTTTGATCAATTTATTATCAATCCCAATGATTAAAGTAATAAAATACTCAGGTAAAATAAATTTAACGGAACGACTTGGGTACGATTTAGCTGTAAGAAATAATAATATAAAAAGATACGTCATATTTTTGTTGGTGATGGATATAGTTTTACTGTGGAATCTCAAAATAAAAAATTTTTTTTAAAAGAATATTCTCGAATAAATTATTTATAAAATATAGAAGAATATAAAAAGATAAGCTAGAAGTATGACGTATCTATTCGAACGAAAGGTATAATGTGTCTCTCTCCTAAAGATCAGAGCAAGATTAGTTTTAATACCGAAAATATAAATATAATGTTAAATTATTAAATACATTTGTAGAGATAAGTTATCTAAAATTTAACTTGACTAATAAAATTTACTTGACCAACAAGAAATAATTGATGAGAAAAAATTACATACTTGTTTTTAAATTTCCCAAGTACCGAGAGCATTGAAAACATTTTGCAACGGTTCCTTAAAGAATTTCATTTCTTCAGGAAACGATGCTTGAAGCTTTTTTTCCGCCTGTTCTAGTGTTGGAGATTTATCCCCAAGGAATTCGTCGTTACTTCGAATTTTCATCAATATTAGCAGTTCGTAGTAGTCATAGAGTGACATATTAATACTTTTTAAAACAGCTTCCAACTGTAAAATAGATTCTTTTTCCCAATCAGCGTAGTTTTCCTTTTCCATCCTAATTTTCTTATAAACAGCAAATTTTACAACGGACCATACATTTGCTCCTAACTTCAATTGTAATACCCTATTAAAAAACGTAATCCAGTCTCTATATTCACTTAGAGCATTTTTATTTTCCAACTTGTTTAATAAGTATTCCACGAGAGTGATAAGGCCCTTAGTGATGGCGTTCATTTCTTCCATCATGACTATTAAATTTTTTGTGTTATCGTTTAGGTTTGCAAGGTTACTCGCACAATCCATCAAGATTTCGTCATTAATGTTATCCTCCATGTCTTTCCAAAGAATTTCATTCTCGTCACGTCTATTTTTAAAGGATTCGTTGAGGTTCAAGTTTCTTTGCTTATAACTAATAAGCTCGGTCTTTGCAATCTCAATCTCCATAGTTTAGAAAACAAGGCGAGTATTTGTTTAGGATTATGAGTGAGTGTTTACTTCGTGACTATGAGTAATATATATACTCATGACAGACTTTCTTTTTTAGAAAGGTCCTCATTTTTTTGGCCGTAGGGCCGTAGGTCATAGATATCAATTATGCTGGTATATACAGTCACAAGTGCAGCAATTTCGAAAGTTTTTCCAGGTATTTACATCTAATTTAATTTTATTTATTTATTTTTTTTTTTAAGTATTGAATAAATACATCTCTTACCTTAAATTTCAATAATTAATTTGGTTGATTGAAATTATTTTATGTACATCACTGAATGGTCCAGTTAGAATGATAATACCATCATCATTATATATAATATTTCCTATCCTGCTACATTGACAATTTGTACGTCTTAGTGTCTTCCTTTGTTGGCTGCTTAATTCAAGTGATACAATATATGTGAATACTCTATATAATGAGTGGGTAAATCTTATATATATTTTTTCTATTGCATATTTAAATATAGAAGCCAATGCGTTCGACTTCATTCATTATCTATAAAAAATCATTATTTCTAATTGCATGAACAAAACTTAAATTAATTGATGCAGCAAAGCGTTAATCAATAAAAGTAATTATGTTTAATTGTTGACCTTTATTATTTTTTTTATTAAATAATTAATATATTTCATGGAACTAATACACGTTTAGAAAAATGAAAGTTGATATAGGTATGAATGTTAGAATTGACAATTGAACAGAAATAAGGAAAGGTTAAAAGGCCTGAAAAGATATTCGGGACAAAACGAATTTTAATTGACCTTTGAACTCCCTTCCCAAATAATGTTCATGAACAAGCAATCTGGTGATATTAGTTCATATCAAAAGATCGTATTGCACTTATTTTTTTGTGTTGGTAGAAATATTGTAATTTCAATTATAAATCGTCTAGTAACGATTTAAATTTTATGTCGTCAAAAGTTTATCTATTAACAAAAGAGTTAAGTTACTCGTTAATGACTATGACCTAAAAAGATGTAAAGATATCCTGAGGGTATTTTCAAACAATCACTGTACTACTCGTAAATCCAAAAACGTAATGTTATCAGCACGACCATAATTATGACGATGCGATGTAGTAGGTTTGAACTTATAGCCTTTAGTGTCTGGCTTTTTTTAAATCATTTGAACAAAAAACAATTTGGAGATTTTTATTTTCTAGCGTTGGAATATAATTTTTTTCAATATAATGATGCTTTCCTGATACTAAATAATCAAAAACTCGGTATGCAAACATTGTTAGGTTTGAGATTACAATCCAGGTATCTATCCTTATTTTACTATATAAATGAAATGACTTTATCGCATGATCTATGAAATTTTTTATTTTTTTGATTATATTTAAGCAAAGAATTTTTGTTCCGGTTCATTTTATTAAAAATATTACATTATTATTTAATAACTTGAAATACTTCGTAATCACACATATCAAAACTCGCAGGTATATCATTAACGTTGTAATTAAGACCTTGATAGTTTGTCCAACTACCATTTTGTTCTAGTCTTAAATTATCACTGAATAAGGGTCCATAACCTGAAAAACAACCTATAGAAGAAACTTGACCATCACTATAACCTACATTTGCGGTTTTAAGGTCCTTTCCATTTTTAAATGAAAATACAAAACTATCTGTACTAAGTTTCCATCCACTAACTGAGTCCCATTCAACTGGATTATATCCTCCTACAATTTGTTCTGAATCTTTAATTTTTACTATAACAATAGTAGCCCCTTTCTTATCACATTTTTGATGAAATGCTGCAGGTGACATGCCATCTTTACTATCACGATATATTAAATTAAAATTATGATAATGTAATTCGTTCTTTATCCAACTCGAGAATAAGGAAAAATGCCGAGATTTAACTAATATTGAATCATAAACAATATTTGGCTGTCTGGGTGCTTGTATGTCGATATTTGATTTCTTGTTTGGTGCCAAATAAGACGCTAAGGTAGTGTTAAATAAATCCTTTGGTAGTAATTTTTTAAAAGGTAGTACTTTTTCATGAAAATCTTCTGATGATATATAATGAAATCTAACTAGAGGGATATATCTGTGAAGGGTTCTTTCCATGATTGTAATTACTTGCTCCATTTGGTGACATCTTTAGGAATATTCGGATTCTGAGCAAAACCCCATTTAATTAAATTTTTCCAAATATCAATTTCCTCTAAACATAAATCATCCCGTTTTAAAAGTAATTCCAATAAAGGTGCTTTTATACCGATAAATTTATCAGAATTAATCAACGCTTCAGGGTCTTCACAGATTTTTTCAACATAAAAATTGGATAATTTTGCAAAGGACTCGTGTTGATAAATTATTTCAAGAAATTCTAAGGAATTTTTTTGTAAAAACTCGTGATGGTCATTGAGTAAATATTCTTCAATTCTGGGAACTAAAGTTTGAAGATTTAGTAGATCTGCTGCTATTAATATTCTTAATAATTCAGGACCCTCAAATTTCGTAAATTCAATTTTTCCACTATATATAAATCTGAAATATTAAAAAGAAAAAAGAAAATATGTTTTATATATATTGCTGTAATTATCTTGCATTATGTACCAACAAATTTTTTCTTTACCTTAAGATAGTTTTAAAAATATGTGGTGAAATATTGGGTATTTTTAAAATGAATTTTCCATCCTTTTTCTCAACATTTCCTTTAGTTAGTTCGTTACGAAGATATTGCGACCTGATTCGCATAATATTTGAAAGAGCATGAAATTCTTTAACGTTTTCATTTTCACCGACATATATAATAACATTATATTCCTCGTCTGTATCGAGTAACCTTTCGTAATCGTCTTCCAAAGACATTTTTTTTTTTATTTTTGTAAAAGTGAAAAAGCTGCATGTCATTGAAATTTTATGCTAATTTGGAAATTACGCCCGTTAATTAAATTTGGAACGATCATCTCAATGCATAATTCCTGATGATCTTGACAGTGGATGATTTATATTACACGAAAATTTTTCTCGGTTTAGTGGCAAAAAACTATACTTAAAAAAAAGTTTGAATTAATATCGCTTTGTGGAATCATTAATGCTTGCAATGGTTAAATAATTAATTTTAATCTGGTTGAAATTAAGTGTTCGTCCAGAAATAATCTTTAGGATAGTGCAGGCTTAGGCTAAATTTTAATCGGTTAAAAGAATATTTATTCGATTATTAACCAGTTAAGATAGTCGATTTCAATCATTATAATCAACAGAAAAACGATAATAAAATTTTCAAAGTTTTGTATAGTGAAAGCTTGTTTTCTGGGAATATTTTTTTTCTTAATGCATATGACCATTAACTTGAACCCATCTCCAATTTTGGAAATAACTTTGCTTGTCTTCCTTTTATAGATTTGCAACCCAGATTTGGAAATTGTTTAAAATGCAATGACTTTTGATCTAAAAAAAAAAAAAATTTCATAAAAAAGGAATGGCTTGAAACAAAAGTAAAGGATGAAGATATAAGTTATTATTTTAATTATAACGAGTTCTCAAATGTTGAATAGCTGGATTTGGCGCTGTTAATCGAGCTAATTAGAGTAATCGTGGAATTAAAGCTTGCGTTAAAAGTTTTAAAGAATAATTTAATTAATCAAAATGGTATGAAGAGTTTGTCAAAGAGGTATATGAACTTGTTTATTTACTAATTTTGACCTGTTAGACTAAATTTTCTCGTACTTTCATTTTTAGTTGAAACTTCTTTTGTAAAATCATCATCACTCAAATATCAATCGATTCCTCAAAATTACGAAAAATACCTGGTGGAAACTTAATTATGGTTTTACTAAGACAGAAGATCAAGGACTGTAACTTATTCTATGAAATGAGCTCAACATGAATATGAGTTTTGTATGATATTATATCAAATCGCATGTTTAAAGCATTCATAAACTTATAAAAATTATGTATATCGTCCCGTTAATTTTTGGAAGTTTGATAGCTTACCTGCAAATTCATTCGATTCGTTGCAATTTAAAGATAAACTTCAAATGCCGTTGGACATTACTTGCGGATTAATGTTTACACTCCGAGAATATAATCCATTGTGACTTGGTAAAAAAAAAAAATTCTTTTTATTTTTATAATTAAATGTAATTATCTTATCTTATTATAATATACAAAATTAGCATTCTAAAAACATATTAATCATAATGACAGATTTATGCTTGCAGATCTTGGACACTACCGAATCAACCACTTCTTCGATCGAACGCCTGCATACGTTGATCCACAATCTGATAAAACGAATTATTAACGGGACAAAAAATCGGATATTTATAGTTTAGGAGTGATTATGAGATGTGGCAAGCCCATTCTCAGATCTTCGCTTCTCATGAAGTTATTATCGAAATCTTTAGCGGAAAAAGAGAAATGCCAGTTGAAGGCACTCCTTCGGATTATATTCAACATTATCAAAATTGTTGCCAAGTTCAATTCCTGATGTTGAAGAAGATAATCAAACTTTCTCAATTGAGATCTCAATTGTACCTCGACTAGATCAAGACTACCTTGTCAAACTTTAGCTTAGACTTGGTCGGATCTAACATTGAAAATGATGACGTTGACGAGAAAGAAAACGATTTAGGATATATTATTATTGAATTGCACTTGACAGCTTCTGATTTAAATTTAAAATCAATAGGGTATGTTTTAATATAAATTGTGATAACTGAATTTGTAATTATCATAACTAATTTTATTTTAATTTTTATTTCATCGTATCGTTATTAAGTTCATTAAAGCTAAATTATGAGAGTATAAAAATCAAATCAGAATTCCTTCTCTTTATTAATGCTGGGAGAAATGTCGTTGGTGTTTATGGAACTTGTGTTTATTGCTCCGGAACTGATCTTTTACAAGGTATTTATATAAAACATGTTGTTTGAGTTTTCTTATTAAAGATTAAATCATTATAAGATTTTATTCCGAAAATGGATAGGTCTCGTACATTCTCATTCTATTGAATTGACAGAAACAAAGCCATTAAGGAAAGAATGGAGTGTTCAGCAGATTTTTTTTTTTAAAAAAAAATTAAAAAAAAAATAGTTTTCAGGTTTTAAAAATAACCTTTATCTTAAATTTATTAAAAAAGTAATTGATATTTTTATATGATTGACAACTTCGTTATAAATAGACCCGCTTTGCTTTGTAGCTTTTCCTTTCTTAAGGCCTATTACAGAACGACGGTTGAAATAATTCTTTGTATTTTTGTTAATAAAACCTTGTCCTTTTATAAATTATTAAATTGTCGACGTTTTCCCTAATTAATAATCTTGAAAATTATTTTTACCAAATACAATTACAAGAGCAATTTCATATTTGGAGAGTAGAAAATCTTAATAGAAAAATCATAATATAAATAGCTTGCACTAGTTATTACCTCACATGATTCCACTGTTGTGCATTAACTATAATTTTGCGTCAGATGCCGACTGGCCTAAATTATGGACCTATTTTTGGGTCGGTCTTATAATGCCTATAAAAGGTTTGGTCAGCATTAATCATTTGACACATGTCAACTGTCAGTTGACGCATATCGATATCTGACGCATAACGTATACATCCTTATCTGTTATCTTATCAATTCTGACTCAAGAAGTTTATAATCATGGCATCATTTATAATTTTCTCGTTTCGCACGAATCGAATATTGTAATTTTCTCCTAGTCTTTTCCTGATCGGGTTACTCTTGTTTGTGTAGGCTGCATATCATTAGATTCTATCGACGAAAATTTCAAAAATCTATTAATAAAAATCCGAATTCATACAACAACGTGCTAGTTTTATTCAAATCAATTCTCGTATCGGTTCTTAAAATAGGATCTTAAAGATATCATTATACAAAAAAGCTTTCACGCGAGAATTAACTGTAAACCTAAACAAATAAGAAGCAAAATTTTAATTTAAAAATCGTTCTTTTTTTTATTCAAAGGAAAAAGGGGAAAGTAATTCTTCCAAACAATATTTATTCCATTTATAACCGGAATTTTTTACAGTACTTTCAATAATGGGTCTTGATATCAAAGCGTTTTTGTTACTTAAGGTTTAGGAATCGTCACATATGTTGCACAATTTATTTCAAGTATTTCGCTCGTCCAAACCCAATTATACTTCCATTTATCAGGTCAGGAATAACATCAACTTGAACATCCCAATTCACTAGAGAATACCAATAGTAGTATGGAGATATTTGGGAGTTCTACCTTGAACATCCAAGTAATAGAACGAGAGGAATTGGATTATGCAGAGCGGATTTTCTAGATCTAGAACAACAAAAATACAAACAAAGTAACTTATTTATCGAATGTTGGTTTAGAAGAATATCTTCTTCAAAAATGGAATAATATTCAATAGAAATTTGGATGGTACTTTATGGAAAGGTATACTTATTACCCATACTATGGGATTTGGGACAAACCCAATGCCCATTGAGTTATAACCTATGGGAGTTAGAATCGAAAAAAATCCCAAATCCCAATCCCAATCCCAATCC